GCAAAGAAACGCGCTGCAAATACTCACAACACAACCGAACAAAGAAACGCGCCGCAAATGCTCACAACACAACCGAACAAAGAAACGCGCCGCAAATGCTCACAACACAACCGAACAAAGAAACGCGCCGCAAATGCTCACAACACAACCGAACAAAGAAACGCGCTGCAAATACTCACAACACAACCGAACAAAGAAACGCGCTGCAAATACTCACAACACAACCGAACAAAGAAACCCGCCGCAAATGCTCACAACACAACCGAACAAAGAAACGCGCTGCAAATACTCACAACACAACCGAACAAAGAAACGCGCTGCAAATGCTCACAACACAACCGAACAAAGAAACGCGCTGCAAATGCTCACAACACAACCGAACAAAGAAACGCGCTGCAAATGCTCACAACACAACCGAACAAAGAAACGCGCTGCAAATACTCACAACACAACCGAACAAAGAAACCCGCCGCAAATACTCACAACACAACCGAACAAAGAAACGCGCTGCAAATACTCACAGCACAACCGAACAAAGAAACGAGCTGCAAATGCTCACAACACAACCGAACAAAGAAACGCGCTGCAAATACTCACAGCACAACCGAACAAAGAAACGAGCTGCAAATGCTCACAACACAACCGAACAAAGAAACGCGCCGCAAATGCTCACAACACAACCGAACAAAGAAACGCGCCGCAAATGCTCACAACACAACCGAACAAAGAAACGCGCCGCAAATGCTCACAACACAACCGAACAAAGAAACGCGCCGCAAATGCTCACAACACAACCGAACAAAGAAACGCGCCGCAAATGCTCACAACACAACCGAACAAAGAAACGCGCCGCAAATGCTCGCAACACAACCAAACAAAGAAACGCGCTGCAAATAAAATTCTTTATTTGGTTGTGTTGTGAGCATTCGCAGCACCTGCTGTCAAACTGATGATGTTTTTTTTATTTACTGGTAATTTTTCTATTTGCATGTGTTTTCTGAAGTTGCAACGCATTGCGCTCTCTCTCGGCCACCGAAGCTTTCACTTCACAGTTCTCTAATTTTTTTATGATTTAATTATATTGTTACCTTTTTAAACTTTAATTTCAGGTCTAATGGAGGAGAAAAAACATCATGTCAAAACTAGAGGAAAAACTCACTCACAGACTGAAAGTATTTCTTTACTGAAAAGAAGAGACAAGAAAAGGTTCACCTGCACTCAGTGTGGAAAGAGTTTCACATGCAAACAGAGTCTCAAGAGACACATGAGGATCCACACTGAAGAGAAACCATTCACTTGTGATCAGTGTGAGAAGAGTTTCACACAATCATCAAACCTTAAGAGACACATGAACATCCACACTGGAGAGAAACTGTATGAATGTTATCAATGCGGAAAAACATTTTCTTGGGCTTTAAGCCTGAAGTATCACCTGAACGTTCATACGAAGGAGAAACCACATTCATGTTCTTTGTGTGGAAAGAGTTTTTCACATCTGCACAGTTTAAAAGTTCATCAGAAGATACACACTGGTGTGAGAGATCATATGGCACGAGAGGATTCACACTGGAGAGAAACCATATCACTGCACTGCATGCGGGAAGAGTTTCAGTCATTCATCTAATCTACGGAGACATCAAATAAACAACCACATTAAGTAGTTTATCTTCAGGTCCAGCGTTTTCAAGCGCTACACCACATCTCTTCCATATTAATCTGTCATAAGAAACATCATCTAAATATGTCACAGTGAATAATTTAATCTTCAAGACCAGCAGTTTCTGTGAGATTCAGATCAATCAGTTTCTATCAGCAAACACAAACAAGAATAAAGTGAGATGATCTGCTGCTGATCCTGAATGGCTTGTTTAATGAGTGTTTATAGTCTGAGGCTCATCGATATTATCAGCTGCTGAAAATCCTCAATATGGATGTCAATAAATCCTGTTTTAACCTTATTATGCTGATGACTATTATGCTTATTATGCTGATGATTATGCCACCATTATGCTGATGACTTCAGATCTGTTAATTGCCACATGAAGCTAATTTTATTGCTGTCAACAGACTTAAGCAAACAACACGATCAGCTTTTGTGACATTACAAGATGGAACTTATCATGTAATGGGATTCTTTAATACCGTAAATTCTTTAAAGTGGTCATATGATGCTGCTAAAAAGAACATTATTTTGTGTATTTGGTGTAATGAAATGTGTTTATGCAGTTTAAAGTTTAAAAAACACATTATTTTCCACATACTGTACATTATTGTTTCTCCTCTATGCCCCGCCTTTTTGAAACGCTAGATTTTTACAAAGCTCATCAGTCTGAAAAAGCGAGGTGTGCTGTGAATTATAATGACATATACTGTCTTTTTAGGCGTTGCGTTGCATCGCGCCGCGTAAACTTAAAACCCTGTTTGCATTTGTGATCGAAGAAATGACAAACAACAAGCCCTACTCTACACTGCTCAAAACACACGTTTGAATCATCAGTGGCAAATCCTTTAACGTTAAATGAAAGCGTACTTACAGTCTGTGAGTCAGAACTGCCGGCATTGTAGTCAATTCTCCCAGGATCAGTAAACAGTCCTCCATAAAATGTGCTGCACACATCTGGATTTGGGTTAAATAGTTTCACTTTCACAACGAAAAACACAGCGGCCTAGCGTGAGTGAAAGCCGCAGCTTAGCGTGCGCTGAGGCCGGGATAGAGTGAGCAAAGGCGGCGGGTTGAGAACGGAGCGCCCGGTGGATTCGAGGAAGGAGCGGCAACCACATGTGACGACCCCAAGCTTCGTACATGGTGAAAGCCGATCCGGCGATCCACAGCGACCAGCACAGATCAGCTCTAGGCATGACGAAGCGGATATCGTCCTCTTTTGGAAGCCCAAACAAAGTAGTTTTTAACTGTGCTGCAAAGCATAGGGTCTAGTGAGAAGGCAGCCAGGTTAATCCGGTAACAGTTATATTCTGTAGATGTTTCGCTAACTGTTAATATTTCCCCCTATTTTCACGATGTCATGTGCTGTTACCGCTATTTATTTGTATTTAGAACCGCCAACTTGAATAATAACCCGCGGCAGCAGTGTAAAAGTAGCCCGGAGTCAGATGCACCTCTCCCGCGTTGACATCCGCAGGGTCACATGCATTTGAGCGCGGATTAGAATCACAAACTCGGCTGCATTTGAGTCTTTAAGGCATTTTGAGGACACAACATCGTCAAGTAAGTAAATTTATCGAATGTACATGTGAGGAGGATGTCAGTGTAGAGGCTCTCCTCGAGTCCCTGGTAACACCAGTGGAGGTAGTGTAGCATACTATGTGAACTTCAATGTTAAAGTGATGCTATATCTTTTTTGCTGCTATATCTGTTTAATAAATTGCAATTATTTACTTTTTTTTTCTGTCAAAGGAATTATTAGGCTATCATTAATAGTAGTAATAGCAGCAGTATACAGTATATGTAAATTGCTATTAATATTTTTTCCCTCACAGACAGCAGATGAGAATGCACAATCCCTGTCACCTGTCACTACCCAGGCCAACAGCACACAGCCTAGATCTCCTGACTCCCCTGATGTGCCACCACCCTGCACACCTGAAATACCTTTGCGTCGCACTCTGGCTCCAAAGAGAAAGTCTGAGCCAGATATCTCAGAATATCAGCGCTGTGTCCTGAAGGCAATTAATAATAAGACAGACGATGACTAGCATTTTCTCTTAAGTTTACAATTAATAACGATGACTAGCATTTTCTCTTAAGTTTATCTGGGGCTTTGAGACGCCTTCCTCCACGCCGTCCACGCCGTGTTAAAATAAAATTCCAACAGATTTTACATGAGGCAGAATTTACCTCTGACAATTAGTAAAACACTCACATACGTACATACACACAGACAGACACACAAACACAGAAATACTTATACAGCTGTAATTGCTTCAATTTTTATATTTATTTGTATGACACTGTTTTATTTATGAATCTGTACATGGAAATTGATGATTAAAAAATATATTTTAAATTAATCTACTTTCCCAGTCATTTATTTTACTTAAAATTTTGGTCAGTGTTTTATTTTTGTTGCAATGTATAGCTTGCTGGTGAAAGCAAAAATGGAAATATGCAAATTTTTTAAGGTTTTGGGTGGCTCTTAAAAGAGCCTTTCTTGATACTACTGGTGGTGGTCCTGATGTTGATGTTACTGATGGTAGTGGTCCTGATATTCATGCTAAAGGTTGTCTTGATGGTAGTGGGAGTCATTACAAGGCATTAGAGGACAGAATGCTGCCATGCAACTTCACCTGCAGGAGAAGAGAAGTAGGTGGTGTACCTCTGTCTAATTTCTAGTGCTTCCCTAGAGGCGTTGTTGCTGCCTACTCGCTGGATGGGCTGCATAGCAAGCTGCTGCTCTAATGGCAGGGGGACACAACTTCCTTCCTCTTCACCAGCATCCTCAAAGCGAAGGAAATTGTGAAGGATGCAAGTGGCCTTCACCACTGCATCAGCAACTTTTGGTGAAACACCAAGCACTCTGTGGTAGAGTCTCCATTGAGCAGCAAGGATCCCAAATGTGCACTCCACCATCCTCCTTGCACGGGAAAGACGGTAATTGAACACACGCTTCTCCCTGTCAAGGTGTTTTCCTGGATAGGGTCGGAGAAGGTTCTTCTTCAGAGGAAAAGCCTCATCACCCACAAATACATGTGGCACAGGTTGGAGGTCTTCTGCTCCTGGTAAAGGTGCATCCTCTGGCAGGTCAAGGGTCCCCTGGTGGAGGGCCTTACCAAAGTCAGAGGCACAGAGGGACCCACCATCACTGCTTTTCCCATATGCCCCCACATCCACCATCCGGAAAAGGTACCTGGCATCAACTACTGCTAGGAGGACGATGGAGAAGCTCCCTTTGTAATTGTAATACATGGACCCTGTTGATGATGGGGCCTGTATTGCAACATGCTTCCCATCAATTGCTCCCAGGCAGTTGGGGAAGTTCCATAGCCTATGGAAGTCTTCAGCGATCTTCTTCCAGTGGTGTTGTTCAGGGAAAGGCATGTATTCCTGGACCATGCCAGACCATATTGCCTCACACACATCTTTTACAATTCTTGCCACTGTGCAGTAACCCACCCTGTAGCTGAAAGCTATTGATCGGAATGAGTCTCCTGTTGATAGATACCTGAAATAAAATAAAAAAGTTGCAATGGGTCATAAATTTCATGTGTGCGTGTGTATGTATATATATATATATATATATACACACACACGCTTTAATTATATTAAATGATTAAAGTGTTCCGATATGTAAAATATAGCTTTGAAATATAAAATACATTGTATTACTGAATCATAAATACCTAGAAACTTAATAATTATGCTACACTCTACGAGACAAATATTTGACAAATATATTATTTTTACTTCACTGATAAAACACCTTGGCATTTTCAGATTAATGAGAAAAATATCAATGTAAGCATAATAATTATTTCACCTATGCACATAGGTTACCTCAGACAAATGGAGAGACGTTCTTCCGAGCTGATGGCTTCCCGGTAATTTGTGTCTCGCCTTGTAATAGAAGGTCCGATTTTCTGAAGCAACACTTCAAATTGTGCCCTGCTCATCCGAAAGTACTCCTTGAACCGGCTTCCGTCCAACTTCAGTTCTTGGACCAAACGATGATACTCACCGAGCTGTTTTCGCGCGCCCAAAATCTCATGAACCCACACAGACCGGCGGGTCCGTCCTTTCTTTCTACGTGGTTCAACCACCCCTCCATCCAAAGCAAGGACCAGAGCAAGTACTCTACATTGTGTCAACATTTTAGTCAGAAACAAATTATCTACCAAATCAGATACAAGTAACAGTTTAGCGGATATTCCGTATCATAGCAACCAAAGCGTCTCAACTGAAAAAACGCTGCGCCACAAAAAGCGCCTAGGGCCCTGTGTCCACCAAAGCGTTTTTAGCCAGCTGAAAACGCCAGGCGCTCTGCTGAAAATGCCCAGCTGCGAGCGCTTGAGAGCGCTTTTTGTGGCGCAGCATTTTTTCAGTTGAGATGCTTTGGTTGCTATGATACGGAATATCCGCTAAACTGTTACTTGTATCTGATTTGGTAGATAATTTGTTTCTGACTAAAATGTTGACACAATGTAGAGTACTTGCTCTGGTCCTTGCTTTGGATGGAGGGGTGGTTGAACA